TGGGTCTGTCAGGTTTGTCCTTACTGCAGAAATGTCAGATGTCAGCACATGGTAGTGAAAGGGTGAGTGCTGTTCCATAGTTCGCATAAAATAATTAAGATGAGTCCTTAATTTCCAGCGTTCAAACATGGCATAAAATGATTGGTTCTCTGATGAGACCTTTATCATCAGGATCTTAAAAAGTTTTAACTGCCCTAGGCCTCTTATCTTATTGGGATTGATTAAAAACTAGTGCCAGGAGAACCCACATGGCAATGCTTTGAAGCATGAAGTAGGAAGGATGCATTCTTTTGTTTTGTACGGGTGTGTTTGCTAAAATCAATCATGTGATGACAAATACAATATTTATTCAGAATAAAGACAAGAGACCACAAGGCCGAAGCTTCGCAAGTTGTTGAGAAAGGGGACTATGAAGGCTACTGCTTTATCCTATCCTTCACAAGGACCACAGCAAGAAGAGAAATTTCCCATAACCATAACACCTTAGATCTGATAATTTCTCCCTGATCAACAGTAGAACTCGAGAAAACACAAAAAAGTTAAAAAGGTTGCTAATTTTAAAAACTCATCCTTCTGTTGATAGGGTGCCCTTTCTCTGTTTGCATGCTATTTTTCTTTTTGCAGTAATTAAAAGTCAAGTAGAAGCAACAAGAAACTTTGAATAAATGGATGCAATATATTCGCAGTTGGAGCCTGGAGCTAATCCCAATATCCATTATTTCAACTTTTTAAGGAGAAAAGTTGTTTGGTTTTTATGTCCCCACTCAGCAACTCCATTGTCCTGATGATAACAGTACTATATCAAGGGTCCACCACCGGCAAAGAAGAGTCATCAAATCCTGATTGACACTAGGAAGGAAGGGCATGCAGTTTCACGAGGTTCTGTCCCTGTGCCATAAGGACATATATAGGCAATTTGATAGCTAGTAATTGGAACTAATAGTCTCATCACTTGGCTTTCTTTTTTGTTTATGGTAGCAGTATCTCAGTTGAAAACTCTGCAACCACCAACCTTGAACTTGTCAAAGTTTCAAAACAAAACCGAAAAGCTTCGAACAATGAGATAACCCCCATGTGGTTTGCACGTAGAAGATAACATGACCCCATGACTTTGTGAGGCATTTCCTTGGGCCCATCGAGGAGAGAGATCATAGCAATGAAGTATGAAAATATCCATGAGCATGACTTTCATTAACGGGAGTAGTAATCAAGTGAAGTGATAGTGAGTGCACATCCTTTTCAAGCAAGGTGTGCCTATATATCCTAGTTTAATCAGTATGCAGTCTACCTAAGACTTGAAACAAATGGGGGCTCCATGCCGCCTAAACTTCAGATCTTAATCAGGTGGCTTAAACCTGAGGTGATACTGATGCGCTATTATAAAAGCAGATTTTGAAAGAGAATTGATAGGGTTACTTAGAATATGTGGTTAATTCACACCAACACTCCAAGATCCACCAAGAAATATGTACTGCTTACCTTTACTCAGTGTTGCAGTAGACCATATTAGTATTTTATGCTTCAACCTTTGATTTAAGTATAGGTATATGTGGTTTTTTATTTAAAGAAACAAATTTGAACACCCTTCCTCAAATTTTTATTTTTTTTTTAAGTATCATAGTTGAAACTTTAATGAGAAGAACGAACTTATGGGAGGAACATGACATTCACACGTCCTCTTAAGGTACCATAAATGTTCTGCTAGGAAATAAATAGGGGCAGCATTGTTTGCACGGCAATGGCAGTTGCTATAAATAAGTGAAGACTGAAGATTGAAGAATGGCCGGGTCTCCCTCCAATCCCCATGGTGTGTGCATGTTTTGGGCCCCTCTCTCAATCCTCTCGCCTCCATATCAAACTCAATCCCCAACCTTTCAACTCACGCAACACTTTAAAATTTTTTTTATTTAAACAAAGCAGAATATGTAAAGATGAAGGGCGTCCATGTGTTAGGTATTTATGTTTGTAATGTTAGACAATAAAACAAATATTAGAGCCTAGAGGGCCAAGATGGAAGAACCGCGTCTGGCATCTTGCACTTGGTCAACAAAAGACTATAACAACATCAATCACGGCAAATTTTCTTCAAAAGAAATACTAGTATAATGGATAAAAAAAATACCTAGTTAATAAATAAGATAACATTAAAATTAAATCACTAGCAGTAAAGTAAAGAAGCAGGACTACTTACGGTCTTGCTCATCAAAATCGAGGCTAATCTCTCTGTCCCTGGTACAGCAAGCGAGTCTTTTCCTCATCAACATCATTTTTCTTCTATTGCCTTTCACCTTCTTCTTGATCTCTTCCCTCTCTCTGCAGAAGAAAATGTATAATGTCACCACTGATCAATGTGCTATCAAAACCACAAATGAAAAAGAAAAATACTTCAAGTAAAAGGAAAAGAAGAAATTGTTGGTTAAGGCAAGCAACTTTTCAGACAGAGTGCAAGTAAAGTCGGGATTTTTTGAAAGCTTTTGCTTCTTGAAGTAAAAAACAGAAGGCTGTATTGTATCAAGTTAAAAAAGCCATGGTTCATCCATTTCATATTGCACCTCTCCGTCTCAAAAACAGTAGCAGTAGTACTACTACTGAATTAAGAAATCCAAGGCAGAGAAAGACAGAGAGAGAGAGAGAGGGAGGTAACGGAATTAGAATTTGAAAAGCAAAGAAGGAGAAAGAAGAGAGAGAGAGAGAGAGAGAGAGAGATCTAATTCCTAAACTTCCAAATGAACATCTTCAGAGACAGATAGAAACGTTGTTTCCTTAAACAGAGAAAGTAGGAATGCCCATCAAGTCTTCATTCCAGAACATATTCGACCAACACAGAACATGAAAGAAAACTACATTTAGAGAGCAAACCTGAAAGTGTTAAGGCAAGGAGAATGCGGTGAGTAATGACAGGCGAGTGGCGAGGCTTCAACGTTTGAAATGAATCAAAGCTGCATTTGGTGAAAGAAAAGGAGGTAGAAGGGGCTTCAAGTCAAAAGCTGCAAACCCGGAAATTGGAATTGAATTGGGATCAGCGGAAGGAAGGAAGCCCACCCAATGAGTGTTGAGGACTTCTAGGGAGGAGAGGAGAGAATTTGTTAGGACTATTTATGGTTTATCAGACACTACTCACCCAAAACAGAAGGGAAGAGAGAAACTGAAGCAGTAGCACCAGAACAGAGTCCTACGTTATTATTTTCTTAGATATACATTTGTTTACTACGACTGCTATTATTTTATTACAAATATACTTATGACATACTTACTAGTAAAAAGTTTATTTTGCAAAATGGATGGGCAAAGCCAAAGAGATAGCAGTAGTATTTTGAATTTTGAGATATCAAATCAAATGAAAATGAGCGTTTCTATGATTATTCCCATTTGAATTTGGAATTCAAAATTTGCAGTCATCATAATTTACACCTACCCAGTGCCTACTTTCTGAAATAATTTTTTGTAACAACTGTAGTCTTCATACTTGGGCCTGCCCTTAGAATTACATGTACCCTCACCAAACGAAGATTAAAAAAACAAAAGTTTCATTTTGTTGTATTTTAGATTAAAATTACACATAATATTGAAGTTCAACTATCCTTTTAAAAAAAAAAATGAAATAATGGAGCAAATTGAAAGGGATATGTCTTTAGTGCGGGGTCCCAATTTGTCCTTGTTTTCTGAAGAGTTGAGCCACGAAGTAAATACCCGTCCTTGCCTGCTTTGCCGTCAAAAGTCATATAACCACTTGTGATCTATTACTAGACTCTCTATCCAACCCTGGATTTGGTTCATAGAGTTAGAGGGTAGAATCTCAACGTCCTAGGCATACCCATTCCACCACTTTCTAAGGAACTCTCTCCAAATGCCTTTGCCAAGTTCAACTATTGAATTTGAAAGGTCTACAAGACCAGAACTAATAAAACACAAGGATCTAATTCCATTAATTGCAATTAAAATAGGCGAAGAAAGAATAAGCAATGGGTGTTTTGAAATTTTGAAATTTTGAAATTCCACATCTTACTACAACCATCTACTGACATGACACCAAACAAATTCCACTACTTTAATAGGAATTGTTGGAGCTTTTGTAAATTATCCATCCAACAAAGTCAATGCCAACTTCACAGTGTAATTCAATTTGAATGAGCGATGATGGAAAGGGGAGAGATGTTACATCGGCTAGTTGTGGAGAAGAGAGCGGGGGTGAGGGTGCTGCCTCGTTCCACGTTTTATGGGCCAAGAAAGGCGCCGGTGGTGAGGGACGTTGTCTGCTGACCACATACGGGCCGCTCTCCATTCATCATTGCCGTTAGTGTTGGGCTGAAGGCAGAGCGGCTTCTTCAATTTTTGTCTCCATTTAACCATTTTGCCGTTGCCTTTTGCCTTGGCCTCACTTTCTCCATGTACCTATCATCGTTAACTACAAACACAAAAATCAAAGAAAAAAGCTGTCGCCCACTAACCTCTTTTGTCCCCGTGTTTTTTTAACCTTTGTGGAGGGCAACTAATATTGGAATGTGGAAAGTTGGGAGCAACCTTGGGTGGGCTCGCTCCTCTCTTCCAGGCAACTGAGTTTTGTTTGTTTTGGGAGTCCGTGTACGTGGGCTCTGGGGGCTCTCAGTTTGAGGAGAATTTTAGACTTTTCCTCATGGGTCATTTCAACCAATTACAGTATTACTTTTTCGAGTTATGTTTAGTCAAACAACAAACCTGTTCTGGTCTAAACCAGCCGTGAGAGGGTCAGTGGTCGGGTCCAACATGGTTAGTGGGTAGGTCACGTATGAGGCCAATCTTGATCATTGCCCATCTATGCACGAGGCCCATATAGTTTCTGACAAGCGGGTCGTCGTTAGTCTAATTATACATCGTTTTGACAAACGCATCGCCGAATCTATTTAGTTAAATATATATAATATATTTATATATATGCAAACTTGGATGCATCCTTGGTTACCATACGAATAAATGATCGGCCACTGAATTCATAGACTTATTCCTCATTCTCACTCATCATCTGGGTCTAAAGTTTTGCCCTTTGCCTTCACAACCAGTTTCAAGAACGGAGGTTAGGCTTTAAAAAAAGAAAAGTTTGTGCAAGAGAGAAATGGACTTCAGCTTAGTTTCATAATTTGGGAAATTTTGGACATTTGATTTACTTACCATAATAAAATCTCTCAAATCTCAATCAATCAACTAGACTCTAACAAATTCACTTCCTGCATCACAACCACCTGAAAACTTTAAAAGTCAGGCAAATCCTGCAATTATTTCACAGTGTTCTCTTTTCAACCCCACTTTTTGAGCCAATTGTTGTCCGCGAAAAGACTGGCAATCAACCAGAACCAAAATTGTGCATCCGTGCTTCTTCATGTCAGCTTCAAAGATGCTTTTCTAAAGCAACTGAGCTGTACAAAGCTAAGAAAGAGAAAATCAGAGCCACCATCAAAATTGAAAATTCATCACATGGGTCCCAAACAAAACACCGGTCCTCCTCATCCAGCCTAGTAACCAATTGTGTAAAGCAGTTCAATGGGAAAGAAACGGCCTGGCGCCAACATGAAAGGGACCTTACTGTTTTCCAGGTTGAAATAAAATGGCATCATTTCGAAAGTGAACCACCATCCAAGAATCCTCGTTCCAGGCCCCTCCGTAGCATCTGTCATCCATGCTATCAGCATTCTACAGTTATTAACTCGCTTTGATTTAGTTGTATGTCTACAGCAAGGACATTAATGTCACATAACAATGTGTCCACAACAAGGACATTAATAACACATAATAATGTATCCTCGAGGACAAAAAAACGTTAGGGCAAGGATTCTACTTGCATGCAAACGGTAGGCTGGATATATTCACAAGACAAGATATGCAGTAAATAGGATTGTGCTGACATTACTAAGATGCCCTTGATTTAAACTTGCATTTACATGAATCCCGCACAGGAGTAAACTTTTAAACATAAAAATCCTCTATATTGGCCGAAAATACAGCTTTTACATTTTAACGTTTAAGGGAAAGAAAGGCAAAAGCAAAAGAATATGAGAATGAGTTAATGAGAATTGATCCATCAGTTACCATCTCATCCCAGAGAGAAAACATCCATTCTGACACCCAAAAAATAGAAAGATTTAGTTTTCACACTCCAATTGCAATCTCGAGGACCATAAGCCCCAAACTAAGAGGTGCAGTATATAACCCCCTCCCGTCTCACAGTCTCACATCTTCTCTCCATCATTTTCCAAATTACATAATTAACTGCTGTGGCACTAACATCTTCAATTAGTCAAAAGCGAATTTTGGGTGGAAAGGAAACCTATCGTAAGGGATATGCTAAGGCTTTTTGGAACTCCGCTTGCAAAGTAAAGGACAACAAAAGAACAAAAGTAGTGTTGAGATTTGAAGCCAAAATGATGAGTAGATAAAGTTACAGAAATGCTCCATTTACAAATTTGGCAAGAATATTGCAGCAGCCTTCAGACAGTGATTAACAAAAGGCTCCACAGCTGAATATCGACTCAATGGGGAACAAAAGGTCAATTTTCATATGCAAAAATATCAATATACACCAAGTACAAACTATACATCCAATTGTTAAATCAATATGGTCGGTAAGGATAGGAACTACAGATCTAATAATAAGTGCAAAGGAGCTTCTAGAAAGTATGCTGTTAAAAGCAATGCAAACCTACCAATGCAAAAGGCCAAAGGAAAGAACAATTCAAATGTACATTAGCATCCGAGAAGGGGGAAATTTTTGGGTTAGTTAATGCTAATTGCTACAGATGTTCCCACAAAGAATCAAACAACTAGCACTTCAACTAGAAAAGACAATTCAACCATCAATGGATAATTCTAACAGCAATTGCTGTCTCCACCTGTAATATTGAATTTCAAGCCACCCATCTTCTCAAGTCGATAAAATGTCAACAATATTATTATAATGAGACAAAACAGCAGCAGAAAGAAATGAATAGCCACACACACTGAATAGAGTTGCAATCTAAAGTTTCAGATACCAGGACAAAAGTTATTTGAGCATGTCAATTGTTTAAAATTTTCAGTCTCTCTCAATGTCTTCCTAAGGGGATTTTCCATTCATTGAAATACCTCCAGCAGCTCTGCAAATTAAAAGCCATTACAGGTAATCTGAAAAGCTTAAAGCCTTTTTATCAAACACCCTCCATCAAGTAAATCTCAGAGCCTTTAAATGAATCAATAAATAACGGACAATCTTACAACTCAAATTGAGTTAAGCAAGGAGCATTAAAATAAAATTGAAATAGGGAATATTCCCGAGCACAGAAACTGCAGTTCTACCCTAATGGCATTTACTATGATTTTCAAAGTTCAAATTGGTCGCAGTAAATAAAATTAAAATCACATCATGGGAGACAATTAGAATCAAAATGTCAGTACAACTAATCAATTGCATCAAATTTGAAGCGAGAAATATAGATAAATGTTCAAAATGAGGAAAGAGTCAAGACCAGACATCAATCTAGAAGGACTACCAAACATGTTAACAAAAAGCAAATACAGAACCTTAATTTAATCATTATTACAAGGATGAAATGCAACCTCATTGAACCATAAATGAAGCCTAAAACGTATGGTCAAAGGCCCTCACCTTCAAATTGAAACCTACAATTGCAAACTTGCAAAGATCAATAGAGTTGAGATAAAGTTCAGTGTACTATTTTTCTTTTAACTACCTTTTACAGTTGAAGAAACCATTTGCTAACTTTTAAATACACGACGGAAACTTAAAGTTCAAATTAGTTCAGACTAACCCAGAAGTTAAAATGACAATTTTAAGACACCTCAGCTCTCTCTCTCTCTATATATATATTTATCAGGCTATTGAAACTAATTGATCAAAGTCAGAAAGAGTCAATATTAACAAAAACATTATACTGAAAATGAGATTTATTCCCCAAAAAGGCTTGTGAGGAAATGGTAAAATTGCAACGAAAAATGATCAAACAAAAATTAAAATAAAAAAAAATATAGAACCTGGCCTTGTTCTTTTGGGGTAGAAGAACCTAGACTAATAAATATACAAAAAACTAGGGCTTGTGTGAACTAGTAGTAGAAAATTTCTTCTGCCATAATATGTAATATCAAGTTTTATCAATTTATGGGGTTTAATTTCTTTTTCCTCTTAACAATTTTACGTATCAAAATCTTCAGAAGAAGTTCACCTAAATAAACACTAGATCAGTTCTGACCAGACACATAAACTTCAGATATCACAGAAAAAGTCGCACCTACATTAAAAAGGCTACTAACAGAATGGATATTACTCATCCAAAAAAGAAAAAAAAAAGAACCAACAGAATGGATATTACTCCAAATTAACAAAATATGGAACTAAACTAATTCCAAAATATAAAAAATTATATATTTACAGAACTAATTCCAATATTTAAGTAAAAGCATTATGCAAGTAGTCATTGCGTTTCCTTTATTACTACAATACCATCCCTTTTTTATTAAAACAAGAAAAATCTGGGCAATTTAAAATTTTTTTACCTCTCTGGGTCCCGAGTCATTGCCTTCACATTTGTATCGTCAAAGGGAAATAAAAGATTAATAGGGCACGATAGTTACCTTCATGTATCTCCTATTTAAATAAGCAAGCTTGAATTATATTTCAAAGGTTTCCTTTTCGAGGTATAAATTCTTTTTTTTTCAAAAAAATAAAAAGAAAAAAGATATATCGCCAATAGATCTATGAATGACTAAAAGCCTTTCTTCTTGTTCTTTCTTTTTTCGTTTATTTCTATTAGCGTAGTGAAATTGGAAACTTCATTTACAAGAACGGAAAAGAGAGAATTTTTTTCAAAAAAAATCCTAAATCTAAAGTAAAAATGATTACGTAATACAAGCAAGAAGCAAGTAAATCCCAACCTGAGATCTGAACATAACACATAAAAAGAAGGCAAGATCCATGCAACCCCTCACCGCGGTCTCCGATTCAGTTGATGCAAGGCGGGATCCAATTCCTGCTTCCTCCAGTCACGGCCCGCCATCTGGCCTAAATCCAATCCAATCCACTATTAAGGAGCAGCAGCCAATCAGTTCCCGACCTGCACCAAGCGAATTAGAGACCGCCGGTAACTGAATCAATCTCCAACTCCTTTAGGGAAAATTTTGGCTTTGCTAAAAACGCAACCGTCTATTACTATTACTATTTCTATAACCCTATCAATGGGCTTGGGTTTTCCCTTCCTTGCTGGTTATTTATAATCACAACAGACCAACTTCCCCCCTCCACGTGTCCCCTCACCGACTCCGGTTTTGTGAGCTAACAAAAAGATAGCCTCCGAAATGGGAAAATTATGGCGCAAGTGGTTTTCTCATTTTCCGTTTCAAAACTTTCAAATTTCAATGCCCCCTTTTGTTTTTCTTTTCTTCGGAGTACTAAATAAATGACCCAAGTAGTTAGTAACTTTTCTTGTTTGTTGGACTTATTAAGTGGGGCGTGGATTCCAGTGAAATTACAGGGTACCACTACAGCGCCGACGTGGAGCTACAGTATCAGCACGTGGGCGTGGTCTGCAGCTGCAACGTGGAGTTATGATGTGGGACAGGAGGTGATAAAAGAAAGAAAAAGAAATCGCCTCTGCCTGTGGTTGAATTTATTCCTCTGCTTTTCCAATAACAAAATGACACGTTCATTTCAGTTAAATTAATTATACCTCGTGGACCCATCGCGCCCGGCCCTACTCAACCCCACTACTAATTTAAGTATTTATACGTATCTTGTTGTATTTTACTTAGGCCGGGTATTTAATTTTGGGCAGAACTTGTTAACAGGACATCAACTTAAACAGATTTGGATTTAAAATTACCGTATTTGCTTGGTTTATCATTTCCATAACCTTTAAGACAAGATAATTACATGTCTTAAAGGAATTTTAACCCTCTAACTCATCTATCATGTCTAGTTAATCAAATTATCATATCAATCTGTATAATTTAATTTGCATAACTAACTTATAAACTTGTTTAATTTAAATTTAAATAAACTAATTGCATCGATTATATTTAAATGAACTATCAATCATATTATAAAAAATTTAATCTGATCTATTTAATAAATGTATTAATTATATCATATAATGTAATACGTTTAATAACTGTTTCTATATACATATTTAAATCTTGAATATATTTAACTAAATCAAGTCACATTCATATTTATCTGACATGAGTTAATGAATACGAATTGGGAACTTGATTTTAGCTTGGAGTTTTCATTTTCTATCTTCTCTCTTTTTCTTATATAAATTATCAATGGTAATATAAATGTATAATTTTCAGTATAAATAACAAATAAATACATCTTTAAAAAGTAATAAATAAACATAACAACGAAATATGGAGACGGACTGTTTTTGGGTAGAGATAGATAAATAAAAATAGTAGTAATTGATAAATTTGGATTACAATTGTTACAAAGTGAAAATATGTACCCTTTTTGCATTTCAATTGGTGGAACACCCTGCGACACGTAACACCCATCTAGAAAATTCCTTCCGATTACATCTGGCATGAAAAAAATAAAAATATAAAATTTTAATTTACATTATTTTTTAATTAAAAATATATAAATTTTATTTAATAAATAAAAAATTACGTACCAATCAATTAATCGGATGTTTGCATCTTTTGTTTTTATTAAAAAATTTTATTATTTTTTATTTATATAATATGGAATAAATTTTAAAAAAAATGATAAAAAGTTCAAATATGAAAATCTCAAACAATTCGTTTGAATTTTCTCAGTTTTCACCTTGAAAGGCTAAGGATTGGTTTGTGTGTTATAGCCCTGGGTTGTACGATAAGCCAGTGAATTATTCGGGGGCAGGCTCATTTAATTGGTTGGGAGTACAACCAACATTCAATATTTCAACTCATTCCCATTCAAATCCAAGTCGTACCCTCTAAATGGTGTACCAACAATTTGATTTTTTTAATGAAAATGTCATACACAAAACGATATCGATATGGCGCTCTGATCCATCGACTCTATTTAATTTAAAATTTTTAATTAAAAATATGTAAAACAACACGATTTATAATAAATAAAATAAAAATAAAAATAAAAAAGACCTTAATTTAAAGTATGCAAAGTAGGTTTGGGCCTCAGACGGTACAAATCTCTTTGACTTATGTGAATGGAAATGAAAAGAAAGGGTGCAGAAAGGAATGATCTTCAAAAAGAAAAGATGGCTTCTTTTCACAGATGGGCATGGCAACCAGGAAATTTAACTGGCTATACTTATGCTTTATTCTATTCATTTATTAAAATTAAAAGTTTAGATTTGATGAATAAAATAAACAAGAGAGAAGAAATATGCATGCATGTATGTATGTATTTATTTGAAAACAATATATTTCTTTATTTCTGCTTAGATATTTTGATATTCCCGATAAATTTATGGGTTCCAATGTTAGGTCGGAAAGTAAAGTTGAATTGTTATTATTATTATAAGGATTATACAAAGTAAAGGCAATGATTTAAGCATTCCCTTTGATTCCCTGGAACAGTGGCTTAAAGTAGGACAAGTTTAATCTTGTTAAGAGAAAAGCAGACTCTTTTCCATTTTGGGTCAGTTGGCTTGGGTTTTTCTTTCAACGCTGCGGAGTCAGTTCAAGGAATAGTAATTTGCAAAGAAATTAACTAAGAATAAACAATCAAAGCAATAATTGAATACATTTCTTGCATCGTACCACATCAATCATTGATCGTTTTAAGTCATGGGATTGAACCTTTGGTCTTTGTTATGATTGAGCTATTTTGTCAAACTAAATTATGATTCCCATTTGATGTCCGTATTTCTTTTCTCGAACTAAATTTGTGAGAGAGGTAAACCATTCTCTCAACATTGAACAAGTGGTAGTTGGATTTTAAATTATTATTTTAATTAATGAATTTATAAAAGTTATTGTATAAATTAATATTATATTATTTTTAATTAAAAACAAAAGGAGTCGGAGTGGCTTTTTTCTGAGGCTGCTTTCTTCGAACATGTATCTTTTCGGGACAAAGCGTGACAGCACACATCAATTTAATTTATAATAATACTAATAATAACAATAAAAGGAACCAAAAATCCTCCCGACAGCCAACTGGTAACGTGTTCCTGCATTTGTCTAGGTCCAATGGACATGCACTTAAGTTTGGCCTTTTTCCGGGGGGCATATGGCTCGTGAAAGAGACCACAATGCGATGCTTGCTTCGTGTTAAACCACGATCTATTTTCTTTTACTACATTCTTTTGTCATAACCTCATTAGCATAACTACTTTGCCTGCCTCTGCCTGTCAAAGCCCCATTAATTTTTGGCTATACTCTTCGGCACGGGCTTATTAATTTCATGCACGTCTCTGTCTCCATCTAATGCAAGCTGCATGCAGCTCCTCTTGAGTTTGAATTTCGTATCAGTATCTTCTCTCTTAAAGATAATCTACAATTTTGTCATGATCATTATCTTCTTATTAAAATATATAGTATCAATATTTATAAATTTTTTAATGATGGACAAAATATTTATTTCTTTTAAGACATTTTATATAATATTTACTTCTTTTAAAATACTTGACATAATATGCATACATACACACACATATATATAAACAAAAATAAAAAATTTGTATCCAAATTATAAAAATTGTACTTACTTTTACAAAGCAAGCGTAATATAACTGATGGATCTATGTTTGTTAATTTTGTTTATCTTTTTCCTGTTTAGGGTGGGAGATTCCAAATGAAGTAGTGCTCAGAAATTGTTTAAGAGGAGAAAAGTAGCTAATGCTGTATTTTTAAGCTATTGTCCTTATCCACGTCTGCCTGTCTATCAAGACAAAAACCATACAAGTTTACATGGTATAATTAATAGACCAGAAAGGAAAAGAGGATGAACCTTTAACCTATAGGAGAACATACGGTTTCCAATACAACTCCGCGGTCTGTTGTATGGTACGCCATGACGTGAAGTGCCACATATATAGTGACAGATAGCTATAAGCTAGTTGAATGAGACACCAAGCCAGCTTGCTAAGTGGTCCACGACGACCAAGCCCAGTGGAGCCAGCATACGTGCAACCCTGGGCAGTGATGGATAGCTGAGTGTCCCCAGTATGAACCAATTGAAGCTCAAGAGGGCAACTGCGTCAGAAGCAGGTTTATTCTTTATAGTGAAGAAAAACTCAATAACACTTCTAAGCGACATGCCAACAACAGTGAAGAGCGCCACCACAAGAGGCATGCAAGGATCTTCAGCTTCCCAGACAATCATTCCAACCAAAACTGATAAAATTGCACTAAAACGAGTCTGTGAAAGTGCAATTTCTCTTCGTTGTTCAAGGACGGCATTGACATCTAAATTTGGAATAACACTGGGCGTCAACGGTTGCACAGGCACAGATCCGCTTGGTGCAGGGCTAGCTTTTAAGAAATTGAACGATCCAGTATTACTCTTGCTCTTACCCTCCTTCCCTTCTCTGCTCATCATCAGGTCTTGGAAGCAGATGCCACTAACCTTATAACTGGAAATCCACGATGCAATATTATAGGAAATGACATGATCATCAACCGTATAGATATTTTTGCTTTTGTTTGTTTCATCATGACCTTTAAGGCTCCATGCTGTTTTACCTTGAATTTCCTTCAGCCGAAGGTTTTCATCCTTTAAATCCTGCAACTGGTAAGGGTGCACAATGTTTTCAGCACATGCAGCATCCTTGCCGAAAGGTACATTCAACACGTGTGCATGTGTGTGTGCATGCATGAACGTGTAGAAATATGTAGAAAACATGGATTAAGTTCTTCCCAACTACATGTCAATAAATGCAATCGAAAACTGAAAACTAATAGAAATGCGTCTCAGTAAACCTAGACCAAATTATTGGGTTTTGGTTTGAAGGCATCATTCTGTGGCTGGAAGATTATTTCTGTGCTCAATTCTAAATCCTTTCTGATGCAAATGACTGACAGTCCCATATTTTAATATGATTTTTTTATCATGTCATTCAACTTTTTGGTAAATTTGGGGGCAGGAGAGGCCCTGTTCTAAAGCCTATCCCATTTTAGAGTTTTCATCCTCCAAACACGGAGGACTTTGCTGTCTGAGTATGGAGTTTCTTCTTCTCTTGGCATGCCCGCCAGACAGTTAAATATATAAGACTTCTTCTAACTCCCAAACAGTTGAGATATTTACCTCACCCACTAGTAGTTCAATCTTGGCAACAGCCTTGTCATGTTCCTCTTCAAGTTCTATTAACATTGACTCCATAATTCGGCGTTCTCTAACAGCTGCTTGGAGATGGTCCTCCAGCTCCTTCCTGTCCCAAACAAGATTCTCCAACTCAAACTGCATCTCATGCAGATGCTGTTCCAGCTGCAAACGATACCATGCTTCTTATACCAATCACGAAGAAGAATGCAGACAAGATTTTAAATAGGCAGAGACGCAATGATTAGCAACTCCTTGAAGAGAATAAAAAAATTTCATAAAAGACACATGCACGACTTCTTGATGCCTTGCATTGCCAAAGTCCAACTAGAAGTTCCAATTGATCTTAAAACCAGAAACTAAAAGATCTATGAACAGTACGTTGACATTTAGTTTATCGTTTTCTATTAAGAGGCTGCATGGTGTTCCTTGCCAAGCTGATTTCCAGCTGAATTAAACAGTCTCCTTCAAGGCAGGGTGAGCGAATACCTCCCGTCCAAAGAAAAAAAAAGGGGTAATTGGAAGCCCAGATGTACTAAAATTCCAGTTGAGTTTGAGCAACATATTTGTTGATACCCAGAGTTGTTTTTTTTTTTTTCTCAATTAGAAGCATGTAAAGGAGAAAAAGATTAAGCCCATCTAGAAAGGTTAAATCTACGGCAGATAAAATTTCTAATCAAACCATATCAAAACTAACCTGTCTTTCTCTCTGCAAGGCAGTCAACACTCGTACAGGAAGAGATACAAGAGCAACCATCCAAATTACTGCTTTCCAGAACATATTCACATGGAAGGAAACAGCTGCCTTTATCAACTCCACCCAGGTCTGAATAACAATATAGATGGTTTTCATGCAAAACGTGAATGCCAATTTGCAAAGTGAAAATGGCATGGTTACCATGATTGTTAGGCTATTCATTAACTCGGGAAACAGCTCCATCAAACCAGCCATTATCCACCAAGGGAGCTCCTTCCTCAGTCACACATATTGCATAACATAAATTAAAGGTTCAGCTCCCAATACTCTGCATAAATATGAACCCGTAAATGAAAGAATAAAACAATTGTGTTACACCTTCAATTTGTGTAAGATACCATAAGAGTATGCAGCCCTTGAGAACAACAAAATGAGACAGAGAAAGAGCATGGAAAAAGGCAATGACATAATATGGTACTTAAGGTAATCTTGATGAGCACAAACATACCAAGTTGTAAGAAGCCTTCTCAGAGACGGTCTTGTTCTTTTATTTTTTGTTTTAATTTTCGTAAGTAATGTTATTCCTATGCTAACTCAACCTATGATATACCATTGATGGACTCCTGCATAACAGAGACAATCCAGAAGCAAACACAGACAACAGAAACTATCCATAGACCAAAAACATATACCTCTTCTGCACCACACGCTTTATACACAGCAGCTATCATTGTCTGTTATTCTTTTACAAGCTTCACGGGATCAGTAGGAGATAATTTCATCCCTAATTGAACAAAATCTGTGCAGAACTCCCCTGAAGACAATACTAAAGCAAATAAAAATTAAGTGCAATCTATATTTTCTTCTTTTTTTTCGATGTTACAATTCTATTCATTATGCCAGAAAATTACAGTTTGCGAAATCCTAATACAACACCTAAAACGGAGAAAAATTTGAAATGCTGCAAAATAAACATGGGAAAAAGTTACTAGATAGACTCTGGAAGAGGAATTTAGAAGTCTCAATAGCATTTTACAGCATCAAAAGTTAAAGGGAAAAACGAAAAATCTCATCACTACAATTGTTGACATGAAGAAAACAAGCACAAGCCCATTAAAAACTTGATATACTCAAAATGAAAAGCATGCAAAAGTCACAGAAAGACAGAAGCAACGCATCGGACTAAGCATTTCAAGTTTGAAAACAAAAGAATCAAGAAAAACAGTAAATTGGAAACTGTTTATGGAGTACATTAGTATACCATAAACATTATAATGAACCCAGAAACCTGGATTGAGAAAAACACGCGTGAAGATGAAGAATGGTCACGCAGAATCAGAAACAGAAAGCAGCAGCTATCTGAGCAGAGCGCAGAGCAGAAGTAGATTTGTTTTGAACTCAAGTGAAAGTCCTATGAGTCTTTTGAGAGCGATAGTTCAGATGGGGAGAGAGAGAGAGAGGCAGTTAAGAAGGGGGAAAGGTGGCACCCAAAAGCGCCCTGACTGACACGCAAGCATGTTTACATGGAACATGTCGAACCAAAGTTTGATTACTAATACTACTAATAGTATTTAGTTCAGATAACGATAGGGCGGAGTCTATCTTGATTCTTGCCCCATTTTGTCCAACATTCACAGCTTTTACCTTGAAAGACAAAACTTTCACGTGAACCCCATTCATAATGGTTTCTCCTTTTGTTATATCTCATCTCATCATATATGCGCTGCACTCCTCCCTCATCTTTTTTCCGCCTTTTTCTCTTAAGGTTTTACATTGATAAAAAGGAAATTCAATGAATCAATTGGTTTTCTTTTGTTTTGGTTAATGAATCTACGAAAATTACAATTAATTAATTTCTCACTGGTGATCTTGGAGGAAACAACTAGCATATGATGTTTGCGTTCAGGGCTCAGGGCATCCAACTGGCCATTGCATGCCTGACCATTACCGTATGTATGTATGTACGAAAGTGATATATATGGGTAATTCATTTGGGCCGGAGTTTGTTGGCCGGACGGCTAGGAGCGGGGAAAAGCCCAATCCAATTTGGTTGTAGTATGTGTGTATTTCTTTCTTGCCAAGGAATGGATGCGTGCGTGTGTGCTGCTGTGTTCTGTGTATGACGATATTTTGCAAAAAGAAAAATTAAGCAGTGTGCAAAAGAAAGAGGGGCCCACTGGGCCAGGCAAAAGAAAAAGAAGGATTCCTTGTCAACCTCCCCTCCCCTCCCCCTTGTGGTTTTTGGGGGTAGCAAGTAGTGACAGCTCCACGTTTCCTGATTTCGCACCAGATAGGATACTGATGGCGTGGCACCAATACGAATACAATACAAACTTGACCCAAATGCAGAAACCAAATTTCATATTCATATAAAAAGTTGTGTCCACCCCTCCAACTCCAATCATTTCTTTTACAACTACTTTCCGCTATGGCTTTACTTACTGTCTAAGGATATTGATTGATTAGATCCTACATTATCTTTGAAACACAGAAGCAGCATTGCCTTTCCCAGAAATTGCATCCTTGTTACTACTAGTTGTATATATTTATGTACCAAGTAGAATGTAGTTGTTCATTCAATACTCAGACTCTGGCAATTCGTAATTCTTCCCAGGCAAAAGATATAGTAAAAATTAATAATAATGGAATCCACTAACTTAAACTTATTTCACTAACACTAGATTCCTTTGTGTCTAATTAATGAAGGAAAATGAAGCCCTGCCTGCTGACGCTGACCATAAGACACGGAGAGATAGAGAGAAGGCTTGGGTTGGGTTGCGTCTGTAGTGAAAGAGAAAAGGAAAAAAAGCATTACATGGGAAGAAAATAGAACAATTACGGAAGGATGATGCTCATTTGGCCTTGGAAGTACAGCGAGAAGGAATGAAGGTTCCGTTGAAAACATGGAAATGCAACTGACAACTGAGATGACACTCGAACTTAATTGAGCCGAGGAGGCCAACTCTCCATCTGGCCTTGGTTTTTCCTTTCAAATCGAACGTAATCAAATCTTTCTTCAACGCCGCGTCCACATCGTCTGCTTGTTCCGGATCCAAGGGTATCGGCGATGATTGAACTACATAATGAAAATCGACCGAACTGTTCTTCACGACTTCGAAGGGGCCTGCAACCAACCTCGCCAGGTCTTCCCCGTTCAAGCTAAGGATGTAACTGGAATTCGAAAAACTGGCGTGCGCCTTCTCGTTACCATTCTGAGCTCGAACCACTATCGTAACCTGGATTTCCAGCACGCCGGCATAATCAATCTGTATCCGGTCTAGGTGGGCGTTCGCGACGCTGATGTAAGGCACCCTGGGATGTATAACCAAGTACCCAATGAAGGTAACGATGCCGGCAATGATGACGGCGACGGTGAGGATGGTGCAGATGATGGCGGCACACCAAACCAAGGGATGGGTCCCTCGTTCCTTCTGGAATGAGCGCTGGGGGACAACATTAGACTTGGTGGGCATTGGGTGCGGGATGACAACATTAATTCGGAGGGCTTTGGCTTTTGGATTTTCGGAAAAGACTTTTTATTTAGGGGGTCGGAGGTGTGAAGGGGGATGCTATGTTTTCAGGATTATCAGGATTGGCAAGGTATAGAATTAGCTCTAATCGACGGGGAAGGTTTTGGTATCTTCCTTTCCTTCATATAAAGCATTTCCTCCCCCTCTTATTTGTATCTCTAACAGTATAAACCACTCTATTAAGGAATCTAAGGCTACTTTTTTCCTATAAAGCCAAAAATACCTACCTTGACTTGCATTCCCAATTCCCAACTCCTGTCTCCTCTCTTCCCGCCCAAACCCCCTCTATGCATTGCACTACTGGACTTCTGCTCTTGTTCTGGATGGCTGGTTAAACTTTCTGGTTTCGCTAAGTGCACGCCATCTCCTTTTTAAACATGCATATATCAGACCAAGTACTCTGTTTTTCCCTTCGAAATTAAAAAAGTTGGCTTTCACATCTAATTCTCTTTGCTGGGTGCATTAACAAGGGACCGCTTTCATTTGGATGAGCTTGCTAGAAATGGATACTTAACCTGCTTCCTGCTTCATTGCCTGTTTTGTAATAATGTTAGGTGAGCATCATTCATTCCTCAAGAAAGGAGTGCAAACCTGACACTTGGGTAGAAGGCCAAAGCAGAGGAAAACAAGAATGTTAACTAAGGACCATTCGAGAGTTACTTTTACCAACAAAATTTGTTCTCTTTCGTAATTATCTCTCATGAGATTGACACCCATCACTTCAATTTTCAATTAACTGCATGTGCTCCAAAATAACCAAAGAGATCATATAACGCAATGGCAATCAGCATTATAAACTGCTTTCATAGGGATTTGTACAATGAACCAACTCATTAGCTCCTTCATCAGGTATCCACCATTAGACATTTCTATCTGCAAATAAAATTTTCAATGCATTCAGCACTTGATTTCTTGTAGACATCAATTTTGGTTACATATAGGGTTTGCCATTCACATACTTCACTCTCACAATAACTTTCCCATGCCCTTATACATCATATCTGGCAACAGTTCATTGATAGATACAAAAAAATGCTGTGAGAACTCAAAATCAGTACCTAAAGGGGTACTTCTTCAAATATTGCACCACCAAGAATCATGATGATGATAATAATGATGACAATAATAGAACATTTGCTACTTATTCAGTCAAAAAATCAATTGAATCTCCATAGTTTGCCTATTGATGAAATATCAGGCCAATCGGAACCCTCTAAGTCTCTAGCATTACCAATCAACTATCCGCACATTGAAATTGTCAAAGCTTTGGCAGAGTAACTAGCAACACATTTATGCAAAGGGGGGGTTGGGGATAAAGAGATTGATTAAGAGACAAGAGAAAGGCAAGATGGTCCAGGAGAGAAAATAAAACAGAGAAAGAGTTATACTCAAATAACACCTCTCAAAACAATGTTTCAAGCTGGTACTTTAGGGCTGCTTAAAATCCTTGAGCATTCAAAAAACTCTTCTTTTTTTAGTTAAACAAAGTATATTACCTTTTCTGAATTCGAGATCTTTTTCAAGTGAATTCCTTTCTACAAAGCATTTTTAGCCCTTAAGCAGTTCTGATCCACAAATGCAACTTTTGAAGTGGTTTTGCATTCAAAATATGCATAAATTGTTTGTTTGGTAGAGACATTTCCTCATGAGTGAATGTCTACCTTCGTTGTGTTGTAACCCAAGGACATGCATTGGACCCAAAATCAATAACAAATTTTGAATTTGGGACAACTAAAATGCACATTTGGGCTACTTGATAAGGCACCATCAAAGAAACCAACATTCTCTCAATCCTTACATGATTCAAAATTTGAAACTTTCACTAGCTTAATCTCAATGAGTTACCCAATCAAGCTATTTTTCTGTCACAAGCTTGCTATTATGCCACAAAAAAGCTATCGTGTACTCTCCATCACAATATTGCATATAACCTTAAATCTCTAAATTTCCTCAAATATTACAAAAGAGACCTTCCAAAATTTTGATTGAGGTGGTAGATAACATTCCATAATGGGCGGTTTTATCATCTTTAGGGCAAATGTGTAATCATCTCCAAATATAAAGACACAAAACCCAAAAGCTTAAAACAGCCTCGATGTTATGTTCAAATCATTTGGTTGGGGGAACCCCCGATGAAATCAATCTATGCAACTCCATCATCCATGAGAAAGGAGATCTAGAGGATATGACAAGTCTATCAAAATCAAGAGTGACTTAGCTAGCTAACTAGCATAATAATTTTCCTTGTCATAGAGTAAGCAAGCTTTGACTCCTAGTGTCTCTATTTCCAAGAGTCTACATATATCAACTAGATATCCCAAGCATAACCACCAAAGCAACTTAAATGACTCATTACCATCACCAAGAACAAACTCAATTGAAGAAAATATGCTGCATAACAATAACATGTAGATAAAAAAACAAGGAACAGTTAACCATCCTTTCATTCCTAAAGGAGGGACAATCATCTCAATTTGATTGTTTTATAGGAAGAATGATTGTGTCACAAGTTAGACGTGCAGATTTTGGAAGAAAAAGTAGCGACATAAAATTCTTTTGTAATGTTTCCAAAAATAGTAAGATAATAACAGAAGATATACTAAAATTTTATAAACTCGGTTGAGCAAGTATTACCACAAAAAAGAAACAGAGTTGACTTACTTATCTTCGTGATTGCGTTGTCATAAAATAAAATCTCCCAATGTTCAAAAAGTCATTTGGATCACAACATCCAAACTTCAGTTTAAAATAGCAGCAAACAAAACCAAGATCAAAAGTGGTTTTGCCATCAAACAAAAGAGAGAATAAAGGCAGAAAACGAAAACAAAACCAAGAACACATCAGAGCAAAGAAAGCAATTGGCACATCACAATGTAGACAACGAGATATTATAAAAAGGGCACAAGCTCCTTTTACTCGAGAAAGTTTATTTCATTAATGACTACCACTCTACGTGTTATCAAACGAAAGCAAAGAAATAATGGGGAAATTTCTATACAAAAATACATGACAAGAAGTTCCTACCATAACACCATTACATCTGTGCAACTTTCCATCTCCTTGAAAGACTATCATACTTATCTCTATAAGTTCTGCCCTCTTTGAAGAAAGCATTCTTTAACTTCTCCATTGTTGACTCAAATAAGTTAATCCTTTTATCAAGCATTTCTTCAGCAAACCTTTCCACCCATGACAATCTACCTAAGTTAGAAAGCCCAATGAGCAACTCATTTGCACTTTCCACAAGAGGTGAGACACAATTTTCAACCATGAAATTCCATATGTCAATTGCCATTTCAGGGTCATCATTCTCCAACAACATTTTAATAACCATAACACAATTAGAACTTGTTGGAGGCCACTCATTCTTGATCATCTCAACAAAGAACTTTCCCACCTCGCAAACCCTCTTGTTCCTCACCAAGCATTGAAAAATCATGTTGTAAGTCAAAGAATCAGGAAAAGCTCCGTGGAACACCATCTCATCAAGTAATCGAAAGGCATTATGCATATCATTGTTGTTGCATACCAAACCAATCACTGCATTGTACATAATCAAGTTGGGCACCAGCCCACCACCCACCATTGTATCCCACAAGGGGATAATGTGGGTTGAATCATTCTGCTTGACAAGAATATCAAGTGCATTAGAGAAAAATCTCAAACCTGGTAAACAGTTATGCCCCTTCATAACTTGCAAGAACTTGACAGCCTCATCAGCTTGTGCCCCACGAACAAGCGTGGTCAAAAATGCATCATAAGCAGATGTAGTCATTGGACTCCACCCAACTCTGATCACCATCTCGCCAAAAGTGTTCTTGGCCTTAGCCACATTGCCTTCTTTCTCCCACCCTTCTAGCAAAATGGCGAATGTATCCCCATCAGGTGGGATCTTCGTCTTGATCCTATCAAAAAATTCTAGTGCAACTGACATCTGATTGTCCTGACGGCAAATGGCACTGAGAAGTGAATTGACAGCGACAACATCTTGTTGTACACCGTATTTATCCATGACATCAAAACTCATGGTAGCCTCACTAAACCTATGCACAGTACAATAGCTTCCGAAAACAGAAACAAATGTTGCTACTGAAAGAAGACTCTCTTGCTTCATGGAGCGAATAGCGTCCCACATGGGTTCGAAGATTTGATTCTTTCCAAGCAAATCGACCATGAGATTCCAGGCATAAGCAGAGGGCTTGATGTAGCGGCCGGCCCAGCGGAAAAACTTGATGGCGGAGGAGGGTTGGTTGTAAGAAAAGCTGAGGACTTCCTGGATGACCTCCGTAGTGGGCGTGATACCGGTGCAGGAGAGCGCAGTTTCAACATCGTGAGGAGAGGCTCGGGAGAGGAGGTCGCAGAGGATTCGGGCCGTCGGGGAAATATCAGGCGCATCAAGGTGGGTACGAAACCGCTGGGGTTGGAGATTGTGGGGGATTGAGTTTGAGTGCGGTTGGTTTGGGGGTTTTGTTGGGAGCGTGATGCTATGGTTTTCAGCTACGGCTTCCATCGGATTTTGACTAACAAAACCAGGAGAGTTCCGACTACATAAGACCCTAACAACATCGAAGTCCAAATAAAAACAAAATTCCAAGAAGCTTTGAATCGAGCCTTGGCTCCATCCAGTGAAAACCCGTCCGTCGAAGCCAAGTGGCTGACACTTGCAATGGCCGGGGTCGGAAATCTATTGCCCTGCTTCTGGTTGCTTCAATGTGTTCTCAAGGACCTTCTATAAAAATTGTATATAACAGGATAAAATAAGAAGGAATTAAACTTTGCCCATAAACTTGGTTATGAACACGGAATAAGATATTTCTTCAAATAACTTAATATTAAACAAATCTTTGTTAGATAAGCATTGTATATTTATTATGGTTAGCATTGTATATTTATTATGGTTAGCATTATAAATTTGTAATGCACATTTATCAAGTTTCGTTCTACCTATGTACTATTCCTATTACTACAAGTTTAATTATATAGTTGCGTTTGGGCAACAAGTTAAGACTATCAATAAATATTTTTCTTATAATTAATTAGTGCATTTTATGATAGTTCATTTTATTATATATATGTGTGTGTGTGAGACTTTATATGTTTTTTTTACATAAATGGATTATATTTATAAATTTTTATGTAAAAAAATTAAATATTTTTGTTAGTTTTTATGTTTCATATTTGAGTTTATATTTGATATAAATTCTATACAATATCAACGAACTAAATTTTATCATCTCATTAATAAATAAACTTAAAAATTAAAATTTTTAAAAATAAATGCTCATAAACGTAAAAAATATTTATTTTGAACTTCTATTCTCACACATTTATGAAATGGTACTTTACCATTAAATTATAGTTATATAGATATTATACACTACTCGTGCATTAAGTGTAAGCTTTTCATATTCATGACTCTTGTAATATAAATACTCTTTTTGTCCCTATGACTTTTTTTTTAAAAAAAATTGTATAAATTAAGATAATAAAAAATTAATTTTGATATATTTTATGTTAAAATTTAAAAATGTATAATACAATGTTTAATTTTTAATATAAAAATAAAAATATCATGAAAAATAAATTTATAGTATAGAAAAAGTAAAAAGAATATTTAATAGAATAAAAGAAATTCATTTTGAGATATTTAAAAAATTAACAAATAAAAATGGGATGTTAACATCAAATTGTGACGAAGGTATTAGCTTCAAGATAATGACACGGTGGCGGTTCAAGATTGTTTCGAATTTGATGTTTAACGAACGGCACCGAATTGTGTCATGTGTCAGTCAATAAGATTAGATTGCAATTGTTGGTACCATGCGCGACTTAAGTTTGTACCTAGGGACTATGGCTTTGCCACGTGCAATCCCATTACGACTCTAACATAATCATAACTTAATCAATACTCTATTTTTTAAATATATTTTTATCCTATTATTACCAACTTAATTACCACTATTTATTTACATTTATCAATTATCACACTAATGCAATATGGATTATGATGTGTGGCTCCCATTTCTGTTTGCATGCGACTTGCGAGCTGTTTATATAATAATATATTTGATGCAAAGGGAAGGAAACGCTCCAACGCCTGGTCCAGTGCTCCATAGCCCATCAAATCGTCTTGATGCCAGCTGCCAGCAGAGGAGCCTTTGTTTCTACCCGCTAAGTCCAACCATGAAACCACCTTCACCTTCACCGTTTATCTCGAAACCCCTTAGAACGACGATACCGCTGATGCAATTCTACAACTACAACATCTCTCTCAAATTGGGACAAAATTCCAAAAGGGTAGCTAAATTGGAGCCTCATGGTGCTGAATTCCCCGTGACCAAAACCTCTGGGCGTCAAATCCCACTAGTGGCACTTGCGGCAACAAACTCCGAGTTGGACACTGGTGTTTTTCAGAGGTCACCAGACAAGCTGGAAGCTATAGAGGAGGACATCGAGAAGGTCAGATTTCTATATGGGATTCAGAAGAGATTGTTTTAGACAATGGGGCACTTATCTCCTTTCTGGATTTTTTTCTTTTTGCAGGTCATTTATCGATGTCGGTTTATGACTCTTCTTGCTGTTTTTGGGTCATTAACTGGGTCATTCCTTTGTTTCATCAAGGTTTCAGTTTTTGGAACTCCTTTTATTTAAGAATATTTCAATATTTATTTGTATGTGGTTTCCTTTTAAGTATTAACGGAATCAGTGCGTTTTATGCATGTTGATGTACACTTAAATTCAAATTATGGCTAAACTTATGAACCGAGGATGTCAGGTCAAATAGGACAGCTCATGTTGGAGTGTTAGAACAGCACAGGAAACAGGAAAACAGTTATATGCAGAGCTCTTTTCCTCTTGCCCTTATATTCTATATTCTAAAATTGGAAATAAAATTGCCAGAAAGCTGATAATGTATAGAGTTGATAGATACTGGATATAACATAACTCTTATAATATTGCATTAACCCATGTCTCTTGAATGCATTTATTTACAATGCGGTTTACTCTGACATGCAGGGCTGCGCTTATATTATAACGTCTTTCATGGAATATTTTGTGGATCGTGGCAAAGTGATTTTGTTGCTGGTTGAGGCAATAGGTGAGGGTTTGTTTGTTATGGTCAAATAATTTTTGCTGTTATGCTCGTTGTTCTTATGGAATACCAACAAGAGTAATAATGATGCTTGCCTTTATTTCTTTGCTGGTTTTGAGAAACAATGATAGAATAACCACAATTTATTTGATTCTCCATCAATTATGGTTACAGCTACCATCACCAGATACTGGGCTGTAAATTCAAATTCAAGGAAGAAGAAATTCAAAACTCATTACAATACATCATGAATAAAACTGATCCTACCGCCTATAATGTGTTTAATGCTTAAAGTTTCAGGCAGACAAGCTTCTGGTTATAAGCAAGTTCCCTTCTCAAAGTTCATTGGGTTTTACATGGAAACTATTGCATCAGCATCAATGTGCCTTAATAGCCTATTTTTATTAAATTGTTTCTCTCTTTCTCCTCTTTTCTTGGGAAATTGTAAAACTAGTGATTGAATGAAATAATAATAAAAAAAAAAGATCATGGTATGGATCTGGTGTAAATCAATGGTAGCTAATATAAACTTGTTAGATTGCAAGTTTTGATGCAGCTTTACAGTAGTTTATCTGCAATAATAAAATTCTTCATGATGGTGCCTAAGGGAAACGTTTTGATGTTTACTATGGTGATGATCAAAGTGTCTATTCATCCTAATTCTCTTGAGCAGGTTATGCATCTTGAGATAGTAAAATTCTTCTGTTTATGTTGTAGTGTCAAAAGATCCTGACCAATGTGGTCTGTTGTTGTTAAAGCCATATTGATGTTTATATTTAAATCGTATTGAGCCGAGGCCATTAATTGTCACTGTATTGCTCTTCCAGATGTCTATCTATTGGGAACAGTGATGCTGGTTTTTGGAATGGGTCTTTATGAGCTCTTTGTTTCCAATCTTGACATTGCAAAGTCACAATCAAAGGAAAAGGTCACATCCAGATCAAATCTCTTTGGCTTGTTTGCTTTAAAGGTGAGTGAAATTTTCTCTACAAGTTTAAACAGTTTTAATTTTTCTTTCTAGTTGTGGTCATGCGAAACTGAAGTTACTTGATTGTGAGATAACTAATTGATTGGTGACAGAGAGAAATAATACCTTTGGGCTGATAGTTGACTACTTCAGGAAATTTGAAGTTATTACTGTGAAATCAAATGGAAGTGTGCAAATTTAAAAATTGTCAATTATTCTTTTATGCTCTGACTCTAGTGTTAAGAGTAAATCATATGGAAATATGGTTGTCCTTTAATTCTCACACACATTTTCTTTTTACGTCCAGGAACGACCGAGATGGTTAGAAATAAAATCTGTCAGTGAAATGAAAACTAAACTTGGGCATGTGATAGTGATGCTTCTTCTAATAGGATTTTTTGAGAAGTGCAAGAAGGCTGCTATATACACTCCTGTGGATTTGCTTTGCTTCTCAGCTTCTGTCTTTCTATCCTCAAGTTGCCTCTTTTTGCTATCTAAGCTCAATGACTCTTAAAGTTCGATAATGCTGTAAAGATATTAGTTAGGCAAAGCATGACTACAAAAATGTAAATATATGTTAGAAACAACGTTTTGTTCCTGTAATGTGGTATCTGTCTGTATGTATTAATTATTTCTAAAGTATCTAACATAATGAAAGGTGTCATCTTAAGCTTAATTTTGAAGAGGATGGGAGGTTGGAGGTTAGATTTGGTCTGGTATTTTAGGATGGTGAAAAGAAAACAGTTTTTGCATTTCGTTAAGAACTGGCTGAATCCTAGTTTAGACAACTGCATCTTGATGCCTTTATGTACATATGCAATCAACAAGACGGTTGGTATTATTGGTGTGTACACTGAATTATAGTAATTTATTAGAAGATCCATCATGTAGAAAAATATCGGATGCTTTTCTAAATCTGATTCAAGTGTTACATCACCCTAAACTCTTTTCGATGTTAACTTTGGAAGGAACAATGACAAAGTTTAGTGGTGATGGATTCATGGTAGAACTCCTTCAGTATGAGCAGAGCCATAATTCGTACTTGGGATATTCAGAAAATTGGGCCTAGTCGATGGATGTCCAGCATATGTAGCTAACAAGTAACAACATACATGATCATCACGATACAGGGCCGGGTGAGATTCACAGATACAAAGACTTTGGCTAGTACTTAATTGATCTTGACTTAATTATTGGTCCTATCTATACCTCTTGTTATACTATACGCAGGGGCGGAGCGTCCCTTTGTAATGTGGGACCATGGCCCCCCCAAAGTTTTTGAAATTTTTTATATATTATATATGTTTTAATATTTTTTAAAATAATTTTTTATTAAATAATTAATAAAATTAAAAAAAATACTAAAATGACTTTATAAACTCTATTCAATTTTACTCAAATTTTTAATTTTTTTTTGAATTTTTTAGTTTCTCCACCCATCTTTCCTTCTTTCTTTCTTTTTATGTTTTTGTATTGTGAAATTATGAAAAGGTAAAGTTTTTATTTAATTTTTTTATTTATATTTTTTAATTATATTCTATTTGTTCATATATTTTAAGTTTTTATAGATTTTCTTTTTTAAATTTATACGAATCATCAATAATTTTTTTTTGTTATATAGGTTATATCTTATTTGTCATGATTTTTTTTCTGTTATGTGGATTTTATTTTTAATAATTTTAATTTTTAAAAATTAAAAAATTATTATATATGTAATTCTCAAATATAAGTTCTAGTGTTACATTATTGGTTGTTGTTTAAAATTTCACTAATATATTATTTTTTATTAATCCTAATTATATAAGAAAAAATTATCTCAAGTATATGTTTTTAATGTGCTTTATATTTTATATTTAGTTAAAAAAAAATTATCTTGAATATAAGAAAAAATTATTAATTTTGTATATCATATTTAACTATTTCTATTTTATGCATTATAGTTTAATATTTGGTGTTATAAACTTAAATATAATAAAATAAAAATATTGATGTTGATTATATTAATTTTTTAGTTGATTATATTGAGAAAGACGAAATTTTTGAAACAAAATAAATGATAAATTTCTTACAAATAATTTAATTGTTTATATTAAAAAATATATTATCATCGTTAAATAAAATTTTTCTAAAGTACTATTATAAGTTTTTTTTATTTTTTTTATTTACATATTATATAAAATTATTATCTATTATAATTTTTTTAATTTTTAATGATTAAGTTTAATAAATTAATTTTAAAAATTTTTAACTTTATTTTTTTTTAACTTTTGACCCTTCAATAAAAATTAACTAACTTCGTTCCTAACTATACGTAGCATCAAGCCGCACCCAAAAAAGAAAGAAAGAATATACGACCACTTTCTTGCCTTTACTTGAATCTCCTAGTATATTCTTTGAATATGGTATTAGTTTTAGTGCATGTTTCCTCTCAAAATCAATGTAGACAAACATAAATACACTGCTGTTGACATAACAGAAAAGTTATAAAAAACAAAACAGAGAAATCTTGAAGAACCCATCATAATGATTTTGGTAAAAATATTAAGTCGTCAACCTTATGATGTTCCGGCAAATTGTGAATATATTTATTATATATATATATAGATCCTCGTGCTTTCCCAACTGTGGCTGTCCGCCGATGTGGGCCGACAGTCTTCTGTCCTCGTGCGTCAACCCACTGAGACTCAACCTAGAACATCAACTGATAATTTCTCAGTCAATGGTGGACAAGATGTCTGACCTGGGAATATCTGCAGATAAGGCTTTGTTTGTTTCAACGTGCTGTCTACCAGAAGCACGAGTTGACGTTCAAGCAGAAAGAGACGACAAAGCCAACATGTGAGCTCAGCGGCTGAGTCATCATCATATTTCTTTATTACCATCGACCTTGTAGTGCTAAGACTTGATCACTCCAACAGTACTGGCAGGGGCAGAGCCTCCTCACAGGGTGGGGGACATAATTTTAAAAAATTATTCTAATTTTTTTTAATGATCATTCAAAATAATTTTCTAATGAATAATTAATGTAAATAAAGAATAAAAAAAATTTCACATTCTTAATTCAATTTTAAAGTTTTTAACTTTTTTAATTTATATAATTATTAATTATTTTTATTTTATTTACTTGTATATTTTAAATTTTGATAAATTTTCTTTTACAAATTTCTATGATCTATCAATTATATTTTTTTATTTTTTATTATATCATATATAAATTTTATTTTTTACTTGTCATATTTTTTTATTATGTACATTTTATTTTTTATTATTTTAATCTTTCAAAATAAATAAATTATTATATAATTTTTAAATATAAATTATAGTGTTATATTGTTACTTAAAATTTTACCAATATATTATTTTTTATTCAGAATAACAAATGCATTCTAACATGTATATTGCAAACTTTACAAAGATATATATACAAATTGATAAAATGAGATAATTGTAATTTTTTTAATATAATTTTATTTATTATATATATTTTTAATGACTCTCAAAATAATTTTTTTTAATAATTAGTTTTATTATTCAAATGTTTGATAAAATTAGAGTCATTATAGTTTTACCATATTACTAGTTAAGCCCAATAAATACATTCTAAACTAATATGCTAAGTCTATTATTTTAAAAAAATAAATAAATGTGAGTCAACTAATCTAAACTTTTTAAATTTTAATATAAATCTAAACTTATTATAACATATTATATCTTAATAATCTCACTTAATAGTTTATCATAACATATTATATCTCAATAATTTAATCTAATAACTTAATATATTAATTACTAATTTAACAGATAAATAAAAAATAAAAAAATCATAATATATAAGTAAATAACTAATTCATTTCAGTTTGAAAATTTATTTTCTCTTTAACTCTTGTGTGTAAAAAGTGTAAGAGATTATTTTTATAATTTTATTTAATCATATATATAAATAGCACAATTGTTTCTATTAATATATATTTTTTATATATCTAATATCTTTTCAAATTTATCTAATTTTTAAATAAATAATAATTAAATTATATATAAAATTTTCTTTTAATTATTTAACAACTGTTTCTGTTAGGTCTCTTTCAAAAATGCTTTAGCTCCTTCGCTGAGCACTGGTATAAAGCATCGTGATGTTTCTGTCTTCTTACGAGAGCAAGTGGCAGGTGGTCTTTACAAAATGCCTAGTGAAAAGACATGATGGAAATCCAAGTAATGATCAGTAAGCAAAAAGTCTGGGCGCCTACCAGACGCAAAAGTAGAAGATTAATTAATTAATTACAATATGCATTGCACATGATTCCTTTAGCCAAGGAATTAACGTTTTTGTCCAAAACTAATTAGTTTAAGATCAGAGATAACAAATAGTATACAGTTTATTTAACTAGCATAATTTAATTGTCAGAAAAGAGTTCTAAGAATTTCGATCGGGCCTCTTTATTTACCCAAAAATAAAATTGACACTAATTAATGAAAACTATATTTGACACGGTTATGCCTCAAAGAGCTTGCCATATGTTAACATATTAATCACAGAAAACTATTCCTTTTTTTTTGAAAAAAATTACTATAAATGTGCTTATGACTAGTAATTAATGTAATTCAAATGTCTTTTTGGGACAAAGAATCGCATGTCCTATCCTGTCCTATTGTAAAGTGCAAGTCAAGCAAAGGTTATTTTCAATTAGTAAATTTTGAAATCGAATTTAATTAAAATAT